TTTAAATCTCATGTAGGAATTAAATTGTTTTAAAAAATTTTAAAACCCAGTATTACTAACAATTACTTTTATGTTATATTTTAAAAATTGTTTAAATATTCAATCATAATTGAAAAATGATAAGGGTTCATTCTTAAACAATGTGTGTGTCCCAGTTTACAGAAAGAAGAAGCATATGAAAAGGCCATGAAAACACTTATAGGGAGGGATGGGGAAAGTAAAAAACTTTGTGGTTATATAATTATTTTAATACATTATAAATATATTTAATAATATGATGAAATTTTTACAGTTAATCAATTAATTTAGCCAATTTTCTTGCAATAACAGTGATCTGTATAAGTGAAAATGCTTTTGCAATAATTTTAATTGTCTTTATTCAGTATGTGGGCTGTATAGAACACATGATATTTCAAAAAATTCAGTGAAACATTAATGCCTACATCAGTATATTGAAAATAATAAGAACAGAAAGAACAGCTAAAGTTTGAATTGAAGGTACAGCACATTGATAGTATGAGAAAAAGTGTAATTCATGGACATTCCAAGTGCAGCTTTTGTTACTAAACTTATTTCTTCTACTTTATTTTTGTTTCAATGACATTATGCAGCTTTTCCAAAAATGGGATATTGAAATTTCTACATAGTTTTTTGGGGTTGACTAGAGACCATATTTGATCATCAATGGGAGGTAAGAGGTTAAATTTTAACTAAAATAGGATACATGGTTTATGGAAAAACCTTAACTGATTTTAACAATGAATAATTATATGTTCTTCAATAATAAAATGACGATTGTCGTAATTTATTAATTTAGAATAAAATGGAATACAGTTCTGATAAATTCTGATAAGTGAGTTTTCTGAACAGTTAATAATAAGTTTTTATTGTTTTTACTTATTTACTGAAACTAGCAACATGTATAGCTGATAAAAAAGTTTATTTTCATATATCAGTAAAATTATTTTTAAAAAAATAAAAAATAGTAATTGAATATAATATTTAACTATATATATTTATATAACTTTAACTTATATACTGATATATATTTAACTTCAGCTTATAAAATGTAGAAATCATTTAATTTTTTTTATTTAGTGAAATCAAATTTTCTAGGAGAAAACTTTTTAATTCATTTTTTTTAAAATAATAATATATATTCCAATTTTTATTGCCTTCATATGCATAGATTTACTAAAATTTGTCCAACGGATGCATATAATTTGCCCACAGTCTGAAAGATATTAAATTTTAAGAATATAGAAGTTATGATGTATTATATTAATAAAGTGAAAATTATATAATTAATTAATTCTTTTTAACTGTGATATGCATCTGCAGAATTGAAATTTTTCCTGTAATAAATAACAAATAAAGATTTATGAGATTCTCTTTGGATGACAGGATTTATGAACATCAGCAACATAATATATATCAGACTTCTGCACTGCAAAGAAACAGATGGAAAAGCTTTTTAAATAAAATAAAATTTAGCATACAAATTTTTAACTGAAATCTAATCTTAATAGAGGAAAAATGAGCTTATTTGAAAAGTTTAAAGTTTTTTTTTTTAAATTCTAAACATTTCACCATGTTTTTTTTTCATCATTAGAATATACATATAACAAATTATGTTAATGAGAAATATTTTATATTTCAAAAAATTTCACAAACACTTTAATAAAATTTTTGAATTTATTCATCTGTAATACTGATTTTTTTTATATAAACTATTTTTTAAAATAATATAATGATATTTGAATTATGATATTTTCAAATTAAATACTGTATTTCGAAACATTTTAAATAATTAATTTATAAAATTAAAAATAATGGTGAGTTCAATTATTCACTGTTATTTATTTTTAATATTATATTTATATAAAGCTTTCATGTATTTACAAAACATTATCAATATATACATGTTATAGAACTGTTAATCAGAATCAATATTGAGAATTATAGAAAGAATTGAGCATTTTTCAGTAATTAGAATCAAGAGAAATTTATAACTATTTCCAATAGTGTTGTCACCTTTTCAAACCTGACCTGGATGGCAGGTCAGGTTTGTCAGGTTCGAACAGAAGTTTCTGACGCATGCACAATGTCATTTTACAATGCGAAGAATAACATGCTTAGATAACTTAGCCCGTAGACGTGTACGATCGTATATGCAGGAAAAAAAAAGGCTACACGTAAACAGACAAACATGGCCGAATTGCAGATGAGTTTCAGTGAGTGTGAGTTCTTTCTCTGTTAAAATAGTGTAAATTTGTAAAAATATTTGCAAGAACTTTGTTTCATCGTAATTTCACAATTTCTATGAAATTGCCGGACAAAATTAATAGTTTACCCGGACAGTGAGTCAATTCCCGGACTGTCCAGATGAAAACCGGATGGGTGGTAACACTAATTTCCAATCCTTAAAAGGATTCTTTAACATTTAATAACAAAATTAGTTTTTGTTTCAGGTAATAATGATCATAATTTAAACAATTCTATTTAACTATCAAATATTATAATTTAAAAAAAATTCCATTTTGTTTGCTAAAAGATTAGAATTAAGTTATTTTTCATTGCCAGTTGAGACATTATGCAAAATTAAACAAGTGTATTCTAAACCTGAAACTGTGGTAAAAAACAACAGTAATACAGACTATCAGAACTAATAAATAACCAGTATTGCCAGGTTTGGCATTTTTAAAGATTTTTTTTTGCACATGGAAAAATTTTGAAGTGCCAAACTCTGTTTGGGATTATTTTTGGCATAAATTAAATTCTCCATTAATGTGCTGTTAGCAGTAACAACAATTAGAAGTAGACTACAGTTCTGCCTAGACTGCTCTCAAAATTTTATTATTGAAATGCTCTTACCATTCTTAGCTTATTTAATGTCTCTATGTTTATTTTGATGTTGCATCTACGTCAAGTACTTTTAATTGTCCAATTCATTATACCAAACAAGAAATTGATGACATAATTGCTGCTGTGTTTTAAATAAAGTGAAGTTTCTTAATAAATTTGTTTAGTTTATGTACTGTTAAGTGTCATTGATTTCTAATGTTTTAATTCGGTTTATAGCATTTCAGGTAAAAAATGGCAACAGAATAAATTTATATTATTTTGCATATTTATGCAAACTGTTTGACATATTTGAATAAAAATAACTTAGTAACTCTACAAGTAAATATGCAGCTAATATTATTGTGTTGCTAGTTTTGAGATTATATACAACAATATTTTTGAAAAGAATTGGAATTGAGAATTGTATCAGAATCAAAACTTTTTGTGGAATTGGCATTGGTATTGAAACTGATAGAAATTTTAGTTTTGTTCCATTACTACTATATTGTGCTTTCCCTTTTCATTACTACTGTTTTATTTAGTAAAACTTTTTGAATTTATTTTTATTATTTTTCCATGTATTTTTTACATGCAGGAATATTTTATTATATGTATTTAGTCATTGCAGTATAGAATCTTTTATCATAATCTCATTTAAAATTAATTGCATCAAGTTTGTATATACTGTCATGATGTGATCTCATTTCACTTCCCTTCACTTTTCCATTCCATAATTATTTTCCTTCCATTTTGTTAAAGCCCACATATCTAATAATCATATTCTTTTAAAATATCTATACAGTTTTACATTGGTAATGAAGAAAGAAAATTACCAGATCCTGAAACGTAAAAAGCGTGATGTTAGGCTGGGTCCCATGACATAATATCAGAAGAGTTACTGATTTTAGTCAATTATTGTTGGTTTTCTGGTTTTCTGACATCACCAATGATGGATGCTATAAGCCAATGAACATTTTACTTATCTATATATGCTTGTTTACAAAATAATAATCTACAGCATTAGTGACAAAAACAGCTAATTATAGGTCTGAGTGTAGTTTTGTTTGCTTTACCTACCATATTCTTAACTTGAATAATTAGCAAAAATCATCATTTCCCTTTTATAACTGATCTGCAATACCACAGTCCTTGCATGTTGTATACTGTATATTTACCATTCTCTGACAGAATTACCAGTCTGGGCAATTGCAAATTGGGCTATTGTTTCTATAAATTGATATTAAAATTTTATTTTGTAACTTGTAGGTATACTTAATATTGGCTATTTTTGAATATAGTTATGAAACAATCCAAAAGTAGGACATTTTTCAAGACAGTTTTAAAATTGGGACAGTATATTAAAAAGCAGGACTGTCTCACCTAATGAAGGATGTCTGATCACTTTAGTAATGAGTGTGTATGATGAAAAAGTGGTTTTTGAACTGCATTTTTAAATGCAGTTCTAGAAAATTGATCTTATGAGACAAAAATAGATGATTGTTAGTGAAAAAATTGTTATGATGCATTGTTTTTATCTGATATACAATATGAGTAACCTTAGTAACAGGGCCGGATCATCGCATAGACAAATGAGACAAATGTCTAGGGCCCAGTTTTTAGAAGGGCTGGTCAAACTGTCTATTTTGAAAAGATTTGTAAATAAGATAGTTTACTTTTCTGTTGGCAACTGTATATAATAAACAAAAATATATTGCTTTTTATATGGTTATTGTGAATTCTAAAATCTAAAGAAAATGTGTTCTTAGTGGAAATGTCTAGGGACCGAAAGTGGGTTAATCCGGTCCTGCTTGGTAAACCTGGCACTAGAACTTAATATTTAAAGTGCTGACCCTTTATATATACCTTATGACCTATAAATATATCATATAAGGTTCATTTATTATCAATAATTATTTTTATGAAAAATAGATATTCCAATATATTAATAAATAATGTTAAGCATTCTAAGCTGTAAAAAGTTACAAATTTTAATATATTTTTTTAATATAGATCTGTAAATAAATCTGTAAAACTGTACAATATGTAATTTATAATCTTTAATGGTTAATCATGTTTTACATTCTGTATTTGTTTTAGTTATATTGTTTAACATTTTAATTTCAAATTTTATATTTATAACTTTATTTCAAAAATAGGTATGTCAAGGGTATTTTCTGTGGAACCTGAGCCTATGATTGTGGAGAAAGGAGGAAATGCCTATTTCTATTGCCAAATTCAAGCTGTTCCATCTGCAATTATAACTTGGCAGCTCAATAATAAAGATCTACCTCAGAATAGCAGCAGGTAAAAACATTGAAATTCATCTGAAAATTTAAATTTGTATCGAAAAATAGTGAATTTAAATTTTCAAAACAGTATTTATGATAAAATATTATTTTTTAATTCAGTAAATAAATATGTAAAGCATTCAATGCCATAATGTTGTAAATGCCAAAAACAAAAACTTTACAGGAGAGATATCCATTCACAAAAAAGGTGTTTTTTTTCTTCAAGTCTTGGAGGAATTCATTTCAATTTTACAATAAAATGGTAAAAAAACTCCCTATGTTACGAATTTTATGGAATAACAAAATGATGTAAACATAAGCCACCAGAAGGCATTGCATGCTTCATATATCATTATTTAATAAATTTATAAAGAGATAATAATATCTAAAATATATCTATGGATGACAGAAATGATTGATGAATTTGCTGTTTATTTGAAGTTTTATAGTATTTTTATCAATATTCATTATTATATATTTGATTATTATTTCTTACCTTTTCCAAATATTTTAACAGATTTATTTATTTTCTGGTATTGAATACATTAAATACATATATTTGCTGATATTCTCTTATTTTAATGATATGTTTATTTACTTGGAACATATTTTAATTGTATTATTATTTTTATGTTTAATATTGTTTAATTTTCAATCAAAAACAAATTGCTTTACTGGATTATATTATTTTACACATAAACATTCAAACAATTTTGGACTTATTCAGCTCATCCTTGGGGATCAAGAACAAGAACTTCAGAATATTTTTTTAAGATCATACATATCATCTCTAAATCCAATTTATAATTAATTCAACTAAATGATCTGCCAAATTATTGGACTATTAAATGGATAAATTAATAATTAGAAACTAATTAATTTGACCAGAGGTAAGTGTTATGCCACCATCTTGTGTTAATTTTAATAAATTATAATAAATTAATTTTTTTATTTAGAATTTCTAGAAGAAAAAATTTGACCCTGTACAGGACTTGAGCCTGTAATTCCTGCTTATGCAGACCTCCATCCAATCTTCTCTTCCAGAACTATTAATTTAGATATAACCATATTGGTTACTCACAATGCTGACTGGGAATGACTTTAGTGCCTATAATAGGTGACCATGGAGGAGTTATAGGTTGTGAGTGCTGAAGTCATCTCTTTGAGTGACCAATATGATTAAATCTAAATTAGTAGTTCTGGAAGTGAAGTGAGTGGAGGTCCGGATAGAATAACTAGCATTGCATCTGCACAGTAAATAGAAGTTGTGGGTTTGAATCCCATTTCAGGATGATTCTTTTCTTCCAGAAATTCTAAATTAAAAAATTAATTTATTACAATTATTAAAATTAACGTGAGATAGTGCATAACACCTACCTCTAGACAAATTAATTTATCCATATAATAGCCTGGTAATTTAGCAGATCATTTGATTTGAATTAAGAACACACCAAAATTTAGGATGTTTAAAAATATTATAAAGTTCTGGTTCTTGATTCCTGAAGATGAGCTGAAGAAGTCCAAAAGCACTGGGATGTTTGTGTGAAATAATATACTCTAATAAAGCTGTTGTTTTTGATTGAAGTTATGTTTTTCAAAAATTATAATTAATTTAACCATAAAATTTATAAAATTTGACATTAAATACCAGTAGAAAGTAATTCATAAATTATAGGCTAAAGTTAATTTTGTGAAATAATTTAAATATATAAGTATAGTAGTACAGTAAGACCCAGTTTAACGTGGGGGATGCATTCCTAGACAACAAAGCACTAAGCAAAACAACGTTAAACAAGGTAATTTTAACATAGAGTAAATAGGGATAGGGAAACATTTGACCAAAAATAAACAAATTTTACTTTAATTTTAAGTTATTTTTATATTAATTTGTATAATAATATATGCTAAATAACACATAAACATATTCACACAGAAATGTAAAGATAATTTTTTGTGATGAAGGTCCTGAAATTACATTTCTGAAATTACTTGTTCTTTTGCAATAAAGTTGTGAAGTTTCATTTGTTGCTTTTTTCTTTCCTTAAGCAAATGTCAGTAGCAGAAGATTGTATCCAAAATGCCTCATTTTGCTTTTGCTCTCCTTTCAAAATCTGGATCATTCGCTATAATTTGATCAATGATTTCAGTTATTGTTACCAAACTTTTACTAAGGAAATCTGTACAGAAATTTTTTGGGTTCTTAATTTTCAGAATCTCTATTTTCCAGTTTCACATGAATTCCATGTTCTGCCAATTCTTGAAGGTCGTTGTTGGTAAGGCTCTCACCAGAAACCTGCAGTAACCTCAATATCCCGCTCGTCTATATCTCCTAGTCCTGCTATATCGATTAGGCTGAGTTTGGTCAATCTAACAATACAGTGATAAGGCTCTTGTTGAGAATTTTTGGATACCTTCAGCCATAACTTCTTCCACACTTCGTTCGTGCATTTATCAGTTAATTCTTGCCAAGCAAAGTTGATATTTCCTATGGCATTTATGATGATATATTTTTTTCCAAAATTGCACCAAACAAACATACATTTAAAGAAAGTACACCTTTTTGCCACCTTTTGCTAATTGGTTTGTGTTCGCAAATAATCGTATTATATACGAATCAATGAAATGCTGTGATAATTTAAATCAGTGTAAATTTTGAGCTTTTTTTAGGCTTTGAGCAGACCACATTATATTGAATCAGCGTTAAGCAAGGCAGTGTAAAGTGGGGTCTTACTGTATTTAAAATAGATTTAAACTGAATAAATTTAGATTATGGTCATGTATTCTTCATTCTATATCTTAGAACTTTAGAAATTTCTCAAAAATAGCATCACATAGTCAGTCATCATCTATCTGGTTTAAACCAGATAGATGATGACTATATGATGCTTCATAATAGGTTAAGATGACAATTCAATTTATACATGAAATTTATTTATTTATTTAATTCAAATTTAAAGGCAATGTCACTAAGACAATAATTGCTACCCCCAGTGCAATGAACAATGAAGCAAATTTCATCATAAAATAAATCAATATACTGTATAACAATAACAAGTAGACCTAAATAAATAAATTTGATTAAAAGTAAATAGAGAAAAAGTATGAAATTAAGTAATTTAAAGTATCTTTTTACAGTAGGATTGCATATGTGGTATTCTAGATATAACATATTCTCAGTATTGTTGACAGATTTATAAAAGTGGTAGAAAAAAAGACTTGATATTAAGATGATATAATGTTAAGAATATATTAAGAAATAATTAAGAAAATATTAAGAAAATGACATAATATTAAGATGGCAAAGAGGAACTTGAAGGCAGGAAAACTAATGTTTACAGACTGAATTAGTAAGTTAATGTGATGTGAAGAGAACAATCCATTAAAAATCTTTATATGTATACAATTGATCAAAATCGGTTGTATGTAAAAAAGGTCAGGGAGATTTAAGGGATACATGCAACACCAGGGGAGTTAAAAAAGGACAAATGGGATAATTTGTTAAGTAAGAAGTATATTTTAGAAATTTTGGCATTGAGTTTTTTCAAAAGAGATGGAAATGAAGAAGTGCACACAGATATAGTGTAATTAATAGTGATATAACGAATATTCGGTTACTATTCGGTATTCGGCCTATTTTTCACTATTCAGCCGAATACTGAATACCTAAAAATAGGAGTAATAATTACAAAAACACAGTAAATTAATCACTTTGGTATTTAGATTTAACGTTGTTGGGTTAGTGTTGTTTGTTTATATTTATTTATAACTTGTAACATGCACAAAATAAAAAAGAAAATAATATTAGTCACATGTATTCACAATTTATAAGTACAAAGATCAGCACACGTACACGCCTATTGTTGGAGAATCCTCGCACATCTGAGGGTCTGACCCTGCCTATTCTTCTTTTTAAGCGCTCGTCTTTGCTCTGTGAAGGTTACGGATGTACGAGACAAATCGTTCCAACGAATATAAATTAAACAATAATTTATTATAATAGGGATTTACAGGTCTTTTAGAGATGCCCGTCAGAGACAAAACACGAATATACAATAGGTCTCCACTCTCGTCCAAAATCTTACAATTTTTAAGAATCACAATATATGGTCTACTCACTAACTTATAATTAACTNCATAATCAGATTATTTAAGCTATAAATTATTTTTTTAAATAAAAGATTTCTTAAAATTCAAACAGTAATAACTAAATAATTTAAATCTCATGTAGGAATTAAATTGTTTTAAAAAATTTTAAAACCCAGTATTACTAACAATTACTTTTATGTTATATTTTAAAAATTGTTTAAATATTCAATCATAATTGAAAAATGATAAGGGTTCATTCTTAAACAATGTGTGTGTCCCAGTTTACAGAAAGAAGAAGCATATGAAAAGGCCATGAAAACACTTATAGGGAGGGATGGGGAAAGTAAAAAACTTTGTGGTTATATAATTATTTTAATACATTATAAATATATTTAATAATATGATGAAATTTTTACAGTTAATCAATTAATTTAGCCAATTTTCTTGCAATAACAGTGATCTGTATAAGTGAAAATGCTTTTGCAATAATTTTAATTGTCTTTATTCAGTATGTGGGCTGTATAGAACACATGATATTTCAAAAAATTCAGTGAAACATTAATGCCTACATCAGTATATTGAAAATAATAAGAACAGAAAGAACAGCTAAAGTTTGAATTGAAGGTACAGCACATTGATAGTATGAGAAAAAGTGTAATTCATGGACATTCCAAGTGCAGCTTTTGTTACTAAACTTATTTCTTCTACTTTATTTTTGTTTCAATGACATTATGCAGCTTTTCCAAAAATGGGATATTGAAATTTCTACATAGTTTTTTGGGGTTGACTAGAGACCATATTTGATCATCAATGGGAGGTAAGAGGTTAAATTTTAACTAAAATAGGATACATGGTTTATGGAAAAACCTTAACTGATTTTAACAATGAATAATTATATGTTCTTCAATAATAAAATGACGATTGTCGTAA